TATATATATATATATATATATATATATATATATATTCTTCTCTCTCTGCACACAATTATAATTTAATAGAAATTTTTATATGTATTAAGAAGCCCACTTGCCAGTGACTAAACTGTGCTCGCCTATCGAAGTGGTTGAACTCATCTCTTTCACCCATCAAAGAAATACAGCTACCGGAGATGGTCATCATTACCAGCAAGGACACAAACCATCCATATTTAAAGCATTGTTAGACTTTCACTTCACCATGTCTTCATCAAGACACTATGAATGGAAGTTGTACAAATAAAAGTCAAGATAAGAAAGAGGGGACGTCCTTTTCTCCACTTTTCACTTTTTTTCTCTTTCTCCAATAAAACTTTATAGCCCGGAAAAACTCCGACTAGCCTGATATTTTGGCTTATTGTAGGCTCGAACTCAAAAGATAATCTCATATATATCTTACGGGTCTTACACCCATTTCTGTTGTCTATCTTCCCTCTACAAAAGGTAGATCTTCACTCAATTGTATGTACTCACGAATGATATGAGACTTACATCCTAAAAGAATTCAACATTGAAAAATGTACGGTGAGTGTTGAGTTCATACTCGGATATGTCCAAAATCTTATTTAGATAAGTAGAGAGGAAGAAGGAAAATGGATTATACTACAAAATTCACTATATAATAGATTAACAAATTAAGGAAAGAAATTTTCAAAGTCGTGCATGATACGATAGAAACTTCAAGATCTTGTTCATGAATTGAGCCCAGAACGTACACTAGATCACAAAATATTATGGCTCGCTGATAAGATCCACCACGACAAAAGCACCCTATGCAGAACTTGCTAAGAGTTGGGCCAAGAAGGGCTCTTAGCAGATTGTTGGACAAGGAGTAGAAAGGAATGCTTTTGGCTATCCTAAAGAAGGAGAGCATGTTGCGATGTCGACTGGAGAATAAAGAAGAAAAAAAGCAGAAGATTTACTCCTAAACATTTAGATGAAGAAACCATGAGAAAAATATAAAAATGGAGATTGATAGAAAACACATTTTCAAGAAAATAATCGAAAGCCAAGACATCTAGGAAGTTTACGATTTCTCCCTAGAATTTTACAAGGAAAGATCTGATCCTACCAACCACCTAGCTTCATCTGAGTCTGCAATATGCCTACTCAGCTTAAATGATAGGTTAAAGTGTCATTTATTCTTTATGATGACAGAATCAGCTTTATGTCAATTCAATCACTTGCTAGTATGGGCGATCATCTTTCAAAGAGTTCAAACATTTGTTCCTAACTCAATTCTCTAGCGTGAAAAAGCAACAAAAAAAACTCTGAAGCTCTACTGAAGATCCCACAAGCACAAAAAATAAGTCCTTGAAGCTTTATTAATCGCTTCCAATTGAAGATGTTAGACGTACATGATCTGGAGCTTACCATCGCCTTTGTTGCTCTAGCTCAAGACCTCTGTGAGGGACCATTTTGGTAAATCCTTAGCTTACAGAAGCCAAACAATTTTTCTCATCTCTTGGAGCTCAAAAATATTCACATATCTACGAAAGATTACAATTCTCACTTTGGTTCCTTAAGATTGTAGGAACCTAGGGAAATGTCTTGAAACCAGCCCCACAATGGCTGCTAGAATAGAAAGAGTTATTTCGGGAAGCAAAAGCCCTAGAATGTTCTTGACCCATTTTTTTCATTATGAACAAATTAAAAGTAATGAAAGGATGGTTAGAAGAAGGAAAGAAAGATGTGAATAGTTACATAAACATCCTTTTACTGAAGTCACGCCGCTTAAGAGTTTTTTATGGCCAAAATCGTGGAGACCATCCAAAACAAAATTTTCATTAAGAAGACTTTTCCCATGAAGACGAGGACTCACTCCAGTGATCCCGTTCGATACCAAACATATCAACGGTATCATAGCCACGGAACCAAAGAATGCCAAAATCTTCATAACCTGATCAAAGACTTGATCACGGCATGAAAACTAAAATAATTTGTAGACTCTTAGCTTGCACCCAACGTCAAGGTCTGGCAAGGAACCTACTCCTGTAAGGCTGGTTCACGTTACGGGCATTTTACTAGCTATCTTTTGGGAGGAGAAGATAAACCTAAGACCTTACAAAGGTCAGATTTAGTGTAGAAAAAAATATTTTAAATATAACAAAGGTATTGTGTCAAATATGAGTAATTCTTTTCTTTACCCTCTGTCAAGTGCATAAAGTGTTGGCTAATCTTGAGTTTGGTCCCTAAACCTGTGGATAGGCTAGAAAGATACTAGCTCTGACTCTAGAGTTCCCACTTCCCCTCCCCTGAGGGCTAACATCTCACTTTAATTTCGAAACATCTGGACATAATTGGGGATTTTAGTCTATCACCCTAAAATCTCCAATTCTATGCCCTTCAAAACTTATTTCTCTATTTATTTGCACTTAACCTAGATTGTGGTCGCCCTTCTCGTAAGGTGAGTGTGGCATTCACAAGTTGGATGAAACATAAATGTTGGAACATAGCTCATTTTGGGTCACTATGTCTTACAAAAAAATTTAACAAATCAATTGGTCAGATTGACAAGTAAATGAAGCATAGAGTTTGAATCATTACAATTTATGGAATTTTAAAAGCACTTCTACTAAACTACATTTCTACACATGATTATTTCTCATTGCAAAGAGAAAGACAAAGGAAACCATTCAAATTTCATGGGGAAGAAACAATAACATATGTATTTATAGATAAACAAAAGTTTACAAGATAAGATAAAGTAAAATAAACAAAGTACACAACTTATCTTATTCCCAAGTATTCCTTCAAGTTCCTTTCAATCACTCACTCTCCTTACAATTCCCTCCAAACTTACTTGGAATCTGTAGTGAAGAAGATATCCCTCACCTCTACTCTTCTCCTCCAAATCCAAAACAAGCCTTCAAGACTTTCTCCTCCTAAGGAAGAATCCACTTCTCTACAAAAGGCTCCTTTTTCTTCCTCCCAAAAGTCTCTCTTTTGAATCTATAGAAGTTTATTTAAATAGAACTCTCAAAATCTCCAAGTTTCTCTTCAAATATCTCTTAAAAATTTGTCCAAACTCAATGGATCTTCTAGATAACCATCACTAGTGCCTAGGTGCCAAATTCTGGAGTCTGGGCACCAGATTCTGGCGCCTAGGCATCAGATCAATATTGGCTTTTTTGCTTCATTGGACTCCAATTTGCTCCATTTTCATTCAATTTGCTCCATTTACTCCATTTAGTGTAACTACAGCCAAAAATATAAAAAATACCTTTCATTAAAGCACAATATCATTCAAAATAGGCAATAAATGTACAAATAAAAGCAACATATTTTTGGCATGTCAAGCCTTCACATGTTGGCCCTAGTCATCTTAAGGGCTAAAGATTTAGGACCACCCACATGAGTCTTCAAAAGATTTATTAAGTGGTTGTGGGCCTTAAGGGGGAAATGATTTAATTTGGGTAAATTAATGATTTTGGGTGTGTTAGGGAACTTGCGGTAAGTTCAAGTGTGTGTCTTTAAGACCAAGCCACCTAAGGTTTCCTTAAGGTTTGGTCCTAGACATCTCAAGTGATAAATGAAGGCTTGTGACTACCAATGTGGGGCTTTACAATAATAGTCAATAAGTGTTTAGAATTTCTATGTGGGTGGATTTCATCATTAATTCTCTAGGAAAGTCATCAGAAAAGTCTTATGACTAGATGTAGGCTTCTAAAGAAGGGAATTAAACCTGATAAAAAATGAGGTCAACAACTGCCTCTTGAACATCAAAATACCTAGAAAGAGAGAATATACACGGTCAGCTAAATTTATCAATTTTACCACCATCTCATTCGGGAAGCAGTAATTCTTTTAAAATAAAATCAAGTCACTCTTTGTCATAATTGAAGACACATCCTCCGAGTATTGCCCCTTCCTCTGGTTATCAACGGAATGAGGTTCTCCATTTGTTGTCATTTCCACATAGTGAAACAAAATCACATTGCTTGCTTATTACACCAGATGGGGACAACTTTCCTCTTGAATTCAACATGAAAGAAGATCTCATTGCTCGCCTGCTATGTAGGATGGAGACGACTTTCCTCTTCACCATAACATGAACAAAAATCTCGTTGCTTGCCTCCTATGCAGGATGAGGATGACTTTTTTCTTGATCACAACATAAAAGAAAACATCTTTGCTCACCTACTACACAGGATGAGGATGACTTTACTCTTGGTCGCAATGCAAAAGAAGGTCTCTTTACTCGCATGCTACACAAGATAGGGATGATTTTATTCCTCTAAAAAAATCTCACTAACAAAAGACTCCACTCTCCATTTTCCTTCTTTTTCTCATTATGCTTCTCCTTCTCCTCACTTGTGATTCTTCTTCCACATATGACCTCTATTTATAGGTTTAAGATGAGCCAAAACATAAAAGCAATTTGATTT